AGAAGAAGAAGGAGGAGGAGGAGGAGGAGGAGGAGGAGGAGGAGGAGGAGGAGGAGGAGGAGGAGGAGGAGGAGGAGAAGAAGAAGAAGAAGAAAAGTAGGAGGAGGAGGAAGAGGAGGAGGAGACGCCTAAGCTAATAAACCAAGCAGTGTTTAAATTAATATAGTTTCTGTGTGTTTATTTCAAGTATGAATGGCCAGGAATGAACAAGCAGCCTCCTACTACACCTCCAGGACAAATAAATCTCCTTTGTGCTGAGAACTTGGTCTTGGGGTGTCTTATGCCGATTCTGGTCCTTTCCCAAAGTAGATACAGAAGCCAATCAACCCCCTGCCCCCACACACTCAGTTCTCTTCCAGGTTGGCATGGCCAGGCCTTGCTGGCTGTGACCCAGCTCCTCACTCACCGCAGTTATCCTCGTCTGCTCGGTTCCCACAGTCGTCCACACCGTTGCAGTGAAGCAGCTGGGGCAAGCACTTGGTGATGTTCCCACAGGGGAAGGAACCAAGGGGACAGCTGACATCCTGTGCAATCCCAGGAGTGACTGGGGAAGAGGGAGAGAGATGCGATATTTGGAGACAGTTAATACACACATAGCACTAAAGGTAGTCCCCTCATAGTTCCCACACGTTTGTCCCCTGGACCAGTTAGAGCAGGAACCTGGCATTACCATCTATGGTGGCCGTGGCCACTTTCTGGAGTCTCTGCCTCACTAGAATGCTCATACTGGCTTCTGTTCCTAGGATTCTCTTGCCAACCTCTCTTTCGTTATCCACTGCCCCCACACCTCGATGAGTGCCAAAGTGGTGGGGATTGAACCTATGGCCTCAAAGAGCTGGGCACATTAATTATCCCTGCCAGACCTCAACCTAAAATAAAGGCAGTTCACAAAAGGACAATACATCTTGGTTCCCAAATTCTCTTACGTGCTTGTACCACGAAATTAGTCTATTTCCATAACATTATGATATTATGATATAGTTATAATATAATTAATATTATGATAGATTGATGTTAATTTACAATTTTAAATTCCCCAACTGACAGAGCACCTGCAAATACAGGCTAAGAATCTTTTCATCTCCCTGAAATGTCCGAGAGTAAAGTGCTCCCCTGCTACTACCCCCAGACACTTTGCTATATATTCCCTACAAGTAAAGGCCTTCTCCACAACAGGACACAACCATCAAAATCAGATGAACACTGAGATGCCATTGGCACGGGACTCTCAGGTTCTATTCAAGCTGGGGCTCCCAAATATCCTGTAAGTGAATGGGGCAAGTTTTGACTTAGCCCCGAGATGATTTCTTACGTCTTTAGTTTTATCTGGAGCCACCTTTGGTTCTTTTAAAAATTGTTATTATTGTGTAAATGTGCAGAATGTGGGGATGAGAGGGCAAGGGCACCAGGGCACACGTGTGAAGGCTGGAAGACAGCTCCGAGGACCAGGAATTGAACCAATGACGAATGCTTAGCCAGCTGATCCATCTTACCCCTCTTTGTACCCCTGTCCCCAAATGTCTTCATCTTTGGTGGTGGGAACCTCAAGCTGACTTTGATCCTCTCAAGCCTCAACAGAACCCACTGGTCTCTGAGGACTTCCATGCTTTCGGGCACTGAATGATTTTTCCAGAATCATCTATTTTGCCTGTTGTGGCTTTCAAATCCACCATTTCTCTGAGTTCTGGCTCCTCGGGAGTTGAATCATATTTAGAAGCCAAGTTAAGGACTCAGTACATAAGGCTACTGGGCTGTTGTTTCCCCAATGTCCTCAGTGGATGGACTGGGACTGTGCAGTTGTTCAGACCTGTGCATGTAGACATCTACATTTACTTTTCAGTCCGTTTCTCAATACTGAACCCTGAGTCCCTCCTCCCACGCAGTACCACAAGACTAAGGCTGATTTTTTTTCTCTCATTAAGTTTCTCTCCCTGCTTTTCTCAGAGTGAGGAACGTGTTTTCTGTTGCTTCAACATAATTAGGCTGACAACTTTAGCCCCCACCTTGGACCGCTTTCCCTGCAGAGAATTTCTCTAGCCTGCTCCACCACCCACCACTCCTTTCACCCCCAACCCAGAACACCTTCCTGTGGGCTCCCAAATGCCTTTAGGGCACAATTGCTCAGGACAAACAGCCAGGAGGCAGAGCTCTGGGAAAGTTCTGGAGACACTGAAGGCCACCTGCAAAGACGTGGGAAGAATGTCTCCCTTAGATTATGGCGTCAGTTCCTTACAGCAGAAGGAAGACATCGTGTTGTTGTGGGACTGGCAAATACGAGATGTGATAATGAACCTCTCTGGAAAGTCACCCAAAGGTTTGCAAAGAAACATCCCTAGGAAAGCATGCCAGCCTGCCTGTCACCTGACTATCCAGATGTCCCATGATGTTTGGCTTTGTCCCAGCACAGCCATGGGACTGGAGCAAAAGTGAAAGACTTTGAAACTGGAAAAACGCACAAGATCACGGAACGGAGTTATCTTGGCCTCACAGCTTCTTTGTTTGTTTGTTTGTTTGATTGATTTTTTGTTTTCTCAACTCTAGCATATAAAAATGCAAATAACCATTGTCCCTAGAAATACAGATTTTTCTGTGGTAGAGATAAGATGGTGATATATATTAATTATTGTTCCATGGTATTAGTTGATTTTGTATGCTTTTGTTCCATTGTTCCTATTGGCTAAACACACACATACAATAGCTCTTAAATTACCACTGATTTTCTCATTAGTAAATGAATTAGTCTTTGAGACGTTTTGATTCTATATCTGTATGACTCATAACTCCTAATCTCTTCTTCCCCTAATTCTTGTTAAATTATCTTGTAACAGGTGTGGGGATTTACTTGGTGTTCCAGAGTTGGTATTTTGAACTAAAGACATTTGGACCTCAACAGATGGAGAAATGTGCCTTCTCAGAACTCATTTGTCTGACTAATAGCAGAAATGCCTGGGGAATAAAGCTGGCATTGACTCCCCCTTTGGGCCAGTCTGGTTAGTCCCAGGAGTGAGGCCAAGGGTAACCTCTAATGAATCTCTTTCCTGAGGATATGAGAATGAGGATGGCCCCCAGAGCTAATATATTCGAATGTTTAGTCACCAGGGAGTGGGACTTTTGGGAAGAATCAGGAGGTTTGAGCTTGTTGGAGGAGGTGTGTCATTGGATGTGGGCTTTGGGGTTTCAAAAGTCAGTGCCAAAGCCCTTTGCCTGCTGTCTGTGGATCAGGCTGTAAAGCTCTCAGCTGCTGTACCAACAGTGTGCCTGTCTGCTCCCCACTGTAATGATAATGAACTGATCTTCTAAAACTATAAGCAAGCCCCAGTTAAATGCCTTATTTTGTAAGAGTTGCCTTGGTCATGGTGTCTCTTCCCAGCACTAGAGCAGTGACAAAGACAGCCCCAAAGGAAGGATAGAGACCCACATCAGACGCACAGGGTCAGAGACGACACAGACTTTCTTATCTGCTGTTTGTTTTCTTATTGGTAAAGGTGCTTGCCACTCAGCCTGATGACCTAGCTTCCATCCTGGGACTTACTCTTGCAAGTTATTCTCTGACTTCCACGTGTGTTGTGGAACGAGCATGCGCACGTGTGCATGCACACACACACACACACACACTCCTTTCTACTTGTTTGTCCGAGATGGAGCTTTGACTGACTTGTACAATTCTCCCCTTGAATTATATATATATATATATATATATATATATATATATACACACACACACATATATATACATATATATATACTTTTTAAAATGTATTTTCTTAAAAATTTATTTATATGATTATGTGTGTGTCTGTATATCACACATATGTGGGTGCTGAGGAGGACAACAAAGGGTTTTAAACACCCTGAAGCTGAAGTTCAGGCAGTTGTGAGCTATTCAGTCATAGAACAGGAAACAAATTTGAGTGCCCTGGAAAAAAGGTGTGATCTCTTAACTTCTGAACCATCTCTCCAACCCCAGATTTCTCTCTCTCTCTCTCTCTCTCTCTCTCTCTCTCTCTCTCTCTCTGTCTCTCTCTCCACACTCTCTCTCCCTCCTTCCTTCCCTCCTTCCCTCCCTCTTTACCTTCATTTCTTTTTTTTTCCTTTTGGAGACATATCCCCTTATATTGCCAAAGCTGGTTTTGAACTCATATCCCCTAACCCTAGATTCCCAAGTAACCATGGTTACAAGTAAGCATCACTGTGTCTGGTTCTACATGTGTACTTTAATCAGAAAAAAATGGAATGAAATATATAAGCAGCATTAAAATGCTGAAGAAAACTTGACATTTGCTATATTTAAAATTAATTTTATTGGATTTTTTTTAGAATTTTAAGCAAACATTTGAACCATATAAAATAAAATTAGTTCATGTGTAAGATTTTTTTCAAATAATAGTTCAATATGTTTGTGAAGGGTTTTGTAAGGGGCTCAGCTCACTCAACTTAAGCTGAACTTGGTGAGTTAGACAGCGAGGAAGATTTCCCATCTGGAAAGATTATGAATAGAACAGTAAGATCTGAAACAAGAAATCAAAGGTTTCATGATTGTGCACATAGTAAGCTCACATCACTGTTACACGCAAGTGTGGTGGGCACTGTTGGCTTGCTGGTTACCTGGCTATCCCAGCAACCCTGACCACTCACTGGCTCCCCATGAAGGCACTGGTAAGAACAACTTTCCTAGCTCTCTTGCCTTCAGTTGGCTACAATACACTCTTCTGGCGATGGAGACCACATCCTGGCGATGGAGACCAGGAAGTCCTGGAGGAGCTCGCGTTCCTGAAACTAACAAATGCCTTCCATGCTCCAGCCTCCAACATGAGATGGCGTGTAGATCCTCAGCAACCTCCTTGCAGCTGTGATTAGCAAGCACCGACACACGAAAGGAGCTCAGCGATGCCGAGTCACACATGCTGACCTTGGCATCACTAGCCCACCAGGTTCTTTTCAGTAAGAAGAACAAACCTCTCTTACTTTGGAGGGTCATATTTTTTCTTCTAGTAACTGAATTTCCAGTATACTGGGTCTGGTGGCACATGCCTTTAACCCCAGCACTGGGGAGGTAGAAGCAGGAGGATCTCTGAGGGTTCTAGGTCAGTCTGGTCTACATAAAGGGTTCCAGGACAGTCAGAGCTACATAGTGAGACTCTTTTTTTTTCTTCTTCCACTTTTATTTATTTACTTTTCATTGGTTTAAATCCGGGATGGGTACAGCATCACACGGATTCTGTGTCCAATGGCTTTTGCAGGAAGGTTGCTTCGGAATTTGGCACGGACCATGCCACTGTTTCCATGGGCCCGAGTTACTTTCCCCCAGATCACTCTGGTTTTGTTTGGTTTGCCTCCAGGTGTCACTGTGTTGTTCTTTGCTTTATACACATAAGCGCATCTCTTGCCCAAGTAGAATTCAGTTTCATCTTGGGCATAAACGCCTTCAATTTTAAGGAGAGCCGTGTGCTCTCTCTGGTTCCGGAGACCTCGCTTATAGCCAGCAAAAGTGGCCTTGCACCACAGCCTTCCAGACATACTGTCCTTTAGAAGTCCTGTTCCCAGCAGGCCGATGGCCGGCAGGGTCTCCGAGATGCAGGGGCGTCTCGGTGAGTGATGCGGATGAACCCACGCCAAAAACCGCCATAGCGAGACTCTTTCCCAAACAAAATCAAACCAACCAACCAAACAAGAAAGAAACACTAGTGTCTCCCCCCCGCCCCACAGTTTCCTTTTAAAGATGAGGAATTCCAGGTCAGGTTGACAATCTATTTGAAAGGATGACAGACTCGCCAGAGAGATGGAAGGAGGGTACATTAGTAGCATAGGTTGCTGTGTTGGGAGGAGTTGTGGTGGCCTGATAACAGCAAATGAGATTAGAGACCTTCCTGAACTATCACATCTCCTCTGGTGCCTAGCTGGATGGAAGCAAAGAGCTTTGGCATGGGGACATTGTGCCAGTGGCAAGTAGTTGTGTTCTGTGTGACAGGCTGGTCCCAGTGGCCCTGCAGCCTTGAGTTCACATTCTCCACACAAGCTGGGGAGGAGCAGCCAGAGCCGAGCTTGGGTCTTTCTGTTTCCTGAAAATACCATGCTAGAGTCCCTAGGCTGTGGAGGAGAACTTGACTTTCCCCTTGGGAGAAAGGGCCCACTAAACTTTAAAATACCCTGCAAGCTTCATACCTTACTTTTCCATGAACGAATAGTCACAGTTCTGAAGTTCTTTTGGCCTGATGGTAAATTTCATTTGTCATTTAATTTTTATGTATTAACTTTACACCAATCTAGTACACCCCTCTCAGTTAGTGATGTTCCTCTACAGAGTCCTGACTAATACATGTCCCGTGTAGTTCAAACTACAGGTAGCAGCAACTACATCTGGCTGGAAAAATATTTGATTGCCAGCACATAGAGGGTGTTAACGACATCTAGTAAGTAGAGGCCAGGATTGCTGATAGATATGCCACATGCACAGGGCAGTTTCTCTTCCCTAGAATCTCAGAAGAGTTTAGGCTGAGAGATCCAGAGCTATGCATGGATGTAGGGTAAAAAGGGCCAATGAAAGAACACCCTGGCCCTGAGACCAGAGCCAGGGAAATATCCTGCCCCTTAACCCACTCAGTAATTGAAATCCAGCTAATCCCTGAGGACAAAGTCCAACCTTAATCTGTGAGCTTGTCTCAAGCTCAGGAATTGAGAACCCTATCAACCTCACTCTGAAAACTGTCACCCTGGGAAGCTCCAACCCTAAGAAACCCTATAAAAGCCCTGTACCTGTTCAATTTGGGGCTGCCTTTTTCCACCATGGTAGTGGCAGCCACTCACCTAGGCTCCTCCCTCCCAATAAATCTCTAGAGTGAGGTTGGTTGTAGCGACTTTCTTTTGCGGAAGTGAAGCAGAACTGCTACATTTCTCCCTGGAAACGTCCTGAGCAGAGCAGAGCTGTAATGGCTCTTGCCAGAGTGGAGTCAGAACAGAACTGTAACATTTTGGCTGGGAAACTTTCCCTTACTGGAACCAAGTTGTTACACTCTGGGGAAGATGAGCAGAGCCGTGTAACCCTTCTCTGGAGCAGAGCAGAGCCAAATTGTAACAACTTCCCTGCGGAAATCCTCCCCTGCTGGATGAACATTGTTACACTTGCATTACCAATCCTTTCTGGGAGCAAGAACTGTAACACTTGGCTGGGGAGACTGTCCACCACTTTCAGAGCTGTAACACTTCAGGTATTCCTCAGATACCTTCAGGTATTCTGACGACCAGGATACGCTACACTTTTTCCTTCATAACTGCAACACTTATAACGGAGTAGCTGGATTTCCATAATTGCCATGAAATATGTGAAAAACACACCCTAAAACAAGGTAAGGTTTATTTGGTTCAGAGTTTTTGTGGTGTCAGTCTATGACCAATGGCCTGTTGCATAGGGCAATACATCACAGTGAAATCTACAGCTCGCCTTTATGCCAGGCAGTCCGCGAAGAGGAAGAAGGAAGGGCTGGGGTTTTGACATCCTCTTCAAATGCACATCCCCAGTGACACACATCCTTCCAAAAGGTCCTACCTCTTAAAGATCTCTGTGCCTCTTATTAGTGTCACTGTCTGAGGACTAAGCTTAAAATATACCTCTACGAGACAGTCTTCCAAACCACAGAAATGCATAACAGAAACATTCACAGACTGCTCACTGTGGAGCAGACAGTTCACTATTTAAGATTCCTTATCTTAATCCTTATTGTTGAGATTTTATAATTGAGAATTATAATCCCAAGAGAATTAAGAAGTAGCAGGACACTAGCAAGTAGGGGATGAGTGCAGCTGTTCTGCTATTTTGGAAACAGTGACGGTTTTTGTTTTGGATGAGAGTCTTGGGAAAAAGACTGCAGTTTGTGCCACTATTACCAGTGGGGAATATCCATGTTAGTGATAACCGTGAGGATTATTGAACAAGTTAGCAAGAACATTTCAGAAGTTTTTGACAATTCAAGTCTATTCTGCTCAAGGTAGGGAGCACAGGCAAAGGACGTTTTCTGGAAGAGTGTGTTAGCACCACACACCCATGTTAACATAAACAGATACAGCAGGAAACCAAGAGAACATGTTATACTTTGTGTGAGATTTGAGATGTGTCTACTGAGCATTCATGAAACATCTTGATGTAGTAAATCTGTACTGAGTGATTCAATGTCTGACTGAAATAGCCAAGACCTTTGAATCTGGCTTTTGTTAATTTGTAGCAATTGAATTTTATACCTAACCAGTGTTAAAGCATGATTCCACTTTGGGAGGCATGTTGGACTCAGAAGAACTGAGACCCTAAAGTGATGTCAGAAGCAGACGCAGAAGCACAGGTTCTGACTTTCTCTTGCCTTCCTGTCTCTCCTCCCTCATTCTGCCTCCACTTCACTGGTGAAGCCATAGAAGCTGGAATTCTTTTTCCCCATGGTAGGTCTTAAAAACTGGAACTTTCTCAAAAGTTAGCAATAAAATCTAAAAATACTGCCCTGAGCGTTCCTTGGTTTTCTGTGTAAGTATTAGCTATAAAGAGCTTCTGCGGCCTGCCCGTGTCTCACACTATGTCAGAGATCTTCTGTGGCATGGCTACTTGAGAGAAAGAAAAACTTAGCAGAGAGGCTAAGAAGAGTTCAAACACACAGATCTTCTTGATCTCTGCCCCCCTCCTAAGAGACCCTTTTTGTGCGATCACATTTCCACATAGCTGTTTATAACCTATAGACAAAGATAAAATTACAGACCAATTTCCTTTAGGAACAAGATGCAAAAATTCTCAATAAAATACTTGGAAGCCAAATCCAAGAACACATCAAAAAAGATTATCCTCTATGGTCAGGTAAGTTTGGTCCCAGAGAGGGAGAGATGGTTCAACATATGTATATTGATAAATGCAATCCACAACATAAACAAACTGAAAGACAAAAACCACATGATCATCTCAGATGCAGAAAAGACCTTTGACAAATCCAACATGCTTTCATGACAAGGGTCCTGGAGAGTATAAGGATACAAGGGACATACATCAACATAATAAAGGCAGTTTCCAGCCCACAGCCCACATCAACCCAAATGGAAAGATCCAAAGCAGTTCCTGTAAAACCAGAAACAAGACAAGGCTGTCTCCTCTCTCCATGCTCATTCAGTATAGCACTTGAAATCTTCACTAGAGCAGTAAAACAACTGAAGGAGATCAAGAGGATACAAATAGGAAAGGAAGGAGTCAAGATATCTTTATTTGCAGATGATAGAATTGCGCATATAAATGACCCTAAAGACTCCACCAGGAAACCCCTACAAAGGATAAACATTTCCAGAAAAGTTGCAGGTTACAAACTTGACTCACAAAAACCAGTAACCCTGGAGACAGTGGGGCTGATCTATTGTGAGCTCACCAAGACCAGCTGGACTGCGACTGAAAAAGCACGGGATAAAACCGGACTCTCTGAATATGGCGGACAATGAGGGCTGCTGAGAAGCCAAGGACAATGCCACTGGGTTTTGATCCTACTTCATGTTCTGGCTTTGTGGGAGCCTAGCCAGTTTGGATGTACACCTTCCTAGACCAGGATGGAGCGGGGAGGACTTTGGACTTTCCACAGGGCAGGGAACCCTGACTGCCCATCAGACTGGAGAGGGAGGGGGAGAGGAGTGGGGGGAGGGGGAGAGAAGAGGGGGGGGGAAGGGAGACGGGGAGGAGGCGGAAAATTTTTTTTCAATAAAAAATTATATTTAAAAAAAAGAAAATACTCATGCAAGAAGTATTTTTCAAGTCCTCTTATAATTTTTCTCCATTATATTTTATAATACAAATATTTCACTATATAAAAACATTTTCAATAAAGAACAATTTTTAAAGAAAAAAAAACCAGTAACCCTTCTTTATGAACTGAAACGAAATAAGAAAGAAACCAGGGAAACAATAACTTTCACAGTAGCCTCAAAAACATCTTGAGATAACCAATTTAAGAATTGGAGAAAGAAATAAGATACCAATAGATAGAAAAGTCTTCCATGCTCTCAGATAATGAGTAGGGCCAACTCCAAAGTCCTGGATGTCGGTCTGGGTAGTAGCTGAGTTGGTCAGTCCAGGCCTCCACCTATCTCAACACTGGAGTTACAGACAGTTACAACTCCAACATGCAGCTGCCATGTGGGTTCTGGAACCCAGACGGGTGTCCCTTGCAAGCTCAATAAATTTCCTTAACTCCAAGCTGTCTCTGCAACCCCTGAACAGATTCTTAAACATTTTTTATTTTTAGATATAGGGTTCACTAACTCCTAGGTACCTAGTGCAGTTAGGTGAACGTTAAGGAATCTGAAGCAGCTACTCGCTGCTGCCTTGGTTGACATCCAAGTTCAGATGTTAATCACCTCTGTACGTCCACCTGTCTTTACTTCCAGGTTCGTTATATGGTAACCAATAGCTGTGCTGAAATCATTTTTCATGGACTCTGTCAAATATCCCATCAAACACCAGCCCATAAAGTTATAAGCACTCTGTGTCAAACACGTGTTGCCGCATGTGGTTTATGTGGAAGGAATGGGCAACTTTCCCACTGCATAGAGATTGTCGGCATCTTCCATCATGTCTTATAAGTGTCTATCGGGAAGCAGCCAATATTTACACTCTTTGGTGATTGCCCATCATGGACAGGCCTGCTAGCAAGCACTTAATTGCTGTTGCTGGATGCATGACTTCCCCTCTCTGTCCATGCTGCCACCTCAGATTAAGAGTAAAGCTTGTGATGGACATGGTTGCCAATTCCGGTCACTACGTTAAGTAGTGAGGGAGGATTGCTTTCCTCCATCTTCAGTTGCACTTTGATACAGCCATTGCCACCAGACCTTGCTTTGTGTGGCTGGTTGTTGGATACCCATCTATATCCAGCTCTCAAGATTGTTAGGTGGGTTAGATACACATCTGTGGCAGGGAAGAGGCAAGAGTGATCCGGGAGAGAAGAGCTAGATTCCTACATACCCCCCCTTTTTTTTTAATATTTGTTTATTATGTATACAATATTCTGTCTGTGTGTATGCCTGAAGGCCAGAAGAGGGCGCCGGACCTCTTTACAGATGGTTGTGAGCCACCATGTGGTTGCTGGGAATTGAACTCAGGACCTTTGGAAGAGCAGGCAATGCTCTTAACCACTGAGCCATCTCTCCAGCTCCCCCCCTTTTTTTTTTAACTGAAAATGATTGACCCTTTTGAGTCCTCTTATTTCCTAGGGGTAAGCAATTCTCTTCTCATTTTTCATCTGGTTTTCAAGTGCTAGAGAACGTTTGTGTATGACTGTGATCAGTGTGTAAACTCCTCATTTCTGCGGTGTCCCGTGTGTGGATAACCAGGCTGACTGAACAGTAGCTGTCCCCTACCTGGCCTTCTGACTTCTTCTCAGTCTCTTGCCAGCCTGGTCATCATACAGCACCTAGAATATTCTTCAAAAAACGAGATTACAAAGTGTTCTCCCTCCAGAACTCCTCTGGGACCTCACAGTCCCTAGAGTAACGTCCTTCCTTTTCACTTTTCCTCTCAGAGCGTCTAGGAATAGGTCACAGCTGTCCCCTGGCTGACTTCCCTTTCTCAGCTTGAGAACCCTTGCTGTGTTCTCAGTTCCTCCAGGTCTTTTTTGTGAGCCAGTCTGCCTTTCTAGATATTTAGATTATTGTTGTCCAGGTCTCTACAAGGCAAGGGGCTCTTCTCGTAAGTAACACCGCCTTAGAAAGACTGTTTATGTCTACTAAAACATTGCCCCGATCTGGAGGGAAGCATGCTGGGCCTGGTTAATACTTGGATGGGAGATGCTGTTTAGGATTGTTCCAGCTAACCTTCCCCCGCATTCTTTGCTCGTTACTATCCTAGCCCATGTGTTTATTTTCTTCAGAACATATTGAGAAATTTATTAGCGTGATGAATAGTTTTGATTTTTGGCTCAATAAAAACATAGATAAAACTGGGAAGGGAGTCTAAACGGGGAGTCCTCTAGATTAGGCTGACTCATGGCCATGCACGGGAGGAGTTTTCTTTCTTAAAACTTAATGTTTTCGAGAATTTCTGTATTGACATCACATCCACCCCACCTTTTCCCCTCTTCAAATTCTCCTCTGTCCTCCCACTCACGTTTAAGATCTCTTCTGTAATCATTATTGTTACACTGGGTGAACTGTGGTGGGAAGGCCCATCCTGAAGATGTGCAATCCTATTTCATGGGCTTGGCCCTGTGCTGAATGAACGGAAGAGAGAGAGCTGAGCACGAAGTCACTAATTCGCGGGTCTGTTTTTGGCGGTGTTTGTCATGTGACAGCTGCTTCCTGCTGTTTTGACTTTCATGCAATTGTAGCCTGGAACTCTGAGCCCAGGAGACCCTTTCTCCTGGGAATCGCTTTTACCAGGGTGTCTTATCACAGCCACAGGAAATGAGACTCAGACAAAGAGTTTGTCTTCTGTCGAGTGCCAGAATGAAATTCCTATAGGTGAAGGGTCTTTTCAGTGTTGTCCCCCAGTGATTGTTTATGACTTTACTGGTCCTAGGTATACTGTGCTAAGCACACAGAGTAGAAGGAAAGAGGCTACGAACGAACGATGACTAGTTCTGTCGTTACCGCACTTAGGACAGAACTCAAAGTCATGACGCTGTGAAGCTATCTTTAATATGCGCAGAAAGTGGACCTTTTCTCCAGCCTCTACCTCTTGATGCAATGTCTGCCAACACCCCTGATGTTTGAGAGATTGAGATTGGTGTAGTCAGTCAAGGGTCCTCGTTTCTTGATTCCTCAGAGTATGCTGCTCCTCATCAGCCTCTCGGAAGCTCTAGGGTCCACAGATTCTGTCTGTCAACGATTAGACTAAGGAAACTTAACATTTTTGATTTTTTTTTTAGAAGGTGGTGAAGGAAAGTAAGGTAAGAAAGAGATTAAGAAATAGGATGTTTTAAATCATGGTTAGCTGTTCAGTAAAGCCACTTGTGGGGCTAGCACTGATTCCTCACAACGCCCTTGTCACCAAACAATGGCTAAAAACCTCAGAGTGATTGCAGGTAGACTTTAGAGTGTACATTGTACGTTCTAAACTAGAAGTCAGCTTTCCCAGAGGAGCTCAATTCCAATAATTGGAACAGTGCTTGTGGTGGTTATGAGATGTCCCCTCTCCAAGCGTCAGACCTCTGAATACTTGATCCCTACGTGGTAGCTGTTTGGGGAGGATTCAGATGTGTGGCCTTGCTGGAGAAAATGTGTGACTGTGGGTGGGTATGGTGGTTTGAAAGAGAATGAATGCCATAGTGTCATATACTTGAATAGTTGGACCCCAGTTGGTGGAACTGTTTGGGGAGGATTGGGGGGCATGGCCTTGTTGGAGGAGGTTTGTCACTGGAGGGGGCCTTTAGGTTTCAGAAGCCTGCGTCATTTCCAGTTAGATTGTGTGCGCTCTCTTCCTCTCCCTTCAGCCCCACTCCTCCCACCTCAGCTTGTGAGGAAGGACGTAAGCTCTCAGCTAGTGCTCCATCGCCATGTCTGCTCACCCTCTGCCATGTTCCTAGTTAGGATGGCCATGGACTCATTTTCTAGAACTGTAAACCCAAACAAACTCTTTCTTCTCTATGTTGCCTTGGTCACAGTGTCTCACAGTAATAGGAAAGTAACTGAGACAGTGGGCTCCGAGATATCCAAGGACTCTGGCCAGTCCTAGTTAGTGCTCTCAGCTTCCTGCTGGCTGGATGAGATGCGAGCTCTCAACTCCTGCTCCATCTGCCTGCCACCTGCTGTGCTCACTCCGCCAGCATGGACTCTAATCCCCTGGAAGGTCACGGCATTTTAACACAGAAAAAGAAAAGTCACTGTGACAGTGTTCACTGTTTATAACAGACGGTCAAATGGTGTAGCCCACGTTTAAGAAATTCCTGTAGCCAGTCAGCATGAATTTGATTTAGTTCACTGATTTTGAAATTGCAGAACACATTTGATTTCCTGGCAAGTGTCGTTTTGAGATCCTGCCCACGATTTTCAAATGTGTCTTTAGTTTATATCAGCAAGAAATTACCAACTAGGAGAGCCCGACTTAGTGCAGCTGTAGGTGAGTCCCTAATCTTCGTAAGTATATTGAAGTGGTATAGACTTTTCCTTATGAATCTGTATTTTTGTCTACTCACACAGAAGTAATTGCAATGCTTTATAATGTATCTGCAAAAGGTCGCTTTCAGGAATCTTTTAGCTACATTATTGTTTGCAAGAATGAGTGGATGTATTCTCTCCTATTTTAAGGATTTTTCCCCAAACTAATCAGTTAGTATAACTACAGTTATGCAGTTTTTATGGAAATTAAAAACTGTGCTGAGGGAGTGGGGGGATTCCTGGTCCAGAGTGAACAGTGCAGCTTCAGGTTCAGGCCCGTTGCATTCTGCTCTTACAGATTCTTTCTCCTATAAAGAAAATCCATTCCCCCACGTCCCCTCCCCCCAAAGAAAACTCCAGGTGAACTACAGACAGGCACATAAACCTGTTCACAAACTTACCCTGAGTGGTGCCATTATTCAAAATATTAATAAAGTACAGTAAAAACTATTTTCTTATAGATGCCATGCTTTGGTCCTGTGAGCTAAGTAGCTGAAATTATTTGTACATATGATGCTTTCTACTGTTGTGACATCACAGGTGAGGAAAGACGCTTTTGTTCACAAACGCTTTCTCAATACCAGCTCCTCACTGTAGAGAACCCACTGATTAAAGAGTATATAACATACTTACAGAGACTGCCTGTCTTTTTACTCACATGATTGTGTCGTATCATTGTGTGCCTTTATTTGGGGTCTACTATTGAATTAGCCATCACTGACAATGCTTTCTCCAATGCTTTTATCTCTTGCCTTATTCTCGAACTTTATCTAATCTTATTCTATTTTATTTCGTCATGTTTGGTTGTCATTTCTTAGACACTTGCTCTTTTCTAATGAGAGACGGAAAGGGAGTGGATCCAGAGGGGAGGAACTGAGAGGGGAAACTATAATCACGATGTAGTATATAAGAAATGAATCTATTTTCAATTAAAAATATACTATGTAATGTGCTCCACATGGATTCTGGGTGTTTTATATACGTGTGTCAGGGAGAAAATACATAAAAAAACATAAAGGCATCCTTCAAAACCTTGAACACCAGCAACCGAATCGGTTGGTCATGGCCCCTTTCTTTCTGATGACTCCCTGCAACAGCCATGCCTCTTTGAGGAATTCTTCCAGCGTCTCCCATTCTAGCCCATTTCCTTTTAGGTCTCAGGAGCTGCTTCCTTAGGCATACATTACTTTCCACCACTTTGTGATGAATTCATTGAATGCAGTCTAAGTTGCGGAGTGTGGCAACCAAAGGCAACCAACTTCATGACCCGGTTGCCACCGTGCTCTCCCGCTTTCTTCAAGTGTTTGCTTCAGCCTTTCGTAAACCACTGAACTTCTTGTCATCTCCCACATCTGCCATGCCCCTCCCTGTCCTGGACCCTCAACTACGCCAAACCATTGCTGTTTGTGTGGTGTCTTTCTCCTTCTGGGGACGTAATCCCTGGTAGATCTAAACGGACTGCAGATTACTGGATCAGCGTTCTCATCGTGTGTGGGAACATGAATAACTGCCCAAATAACAGACCACGCATAAGCTGTGTAACATGCCTTTGGTGTTGGCATGCTCAGCAGAAATGCTTGACTTGGGAATTAGATAAACCCGAGTTTAACCCTGAGTATTTGTGGGCCTGTGACCTGGGTCAGTTCACAAATCTCTCTGAAGCTGAGCCTTGCGTTTGGAGAGACAATGCTATATGTACCCCCCTTTATGGTTTAAGTAGACTTTACTGAGTCATTTAACTAGAACTTCAATGATGTACCTGACTGTACTACAACTTAAATAAGGTCAATAATTCATACCAACAACCAAAGCGCAGTGACTTTGTTCAAGCACGTCTGTGTATTTAAGTACACGGACTAAAGAATATTAAAGCTCATATTAAAAGTTTGCCACGATTTCCTGCGGCGTAAATGTTAAAGTAACATACATTCCGCAGTGACTAATCAGACAGCTCAGCTTCCAAGCAGAGGAGATTACCATATCATATCATTCTTTGCTCCTTCTAATTATGGATTACACATCATATGGCTTTAGGGACTTCCTTGGAAAATTTTTGTATAATAAAGCTCATAACACCAGTCATTAGGAATTTTCCATATTTAGAGCAACATTTCTGTGTTCGGCTATTTTATTTTATAATTCTATCAATAGTGTTGCTAGGAAAAAGGGAAAAGCATATTATGAAATGCGTACACCATTTTCTTTATGGTTTGAATATGACATGTCCTTTTCTCAGGTTTGCGGTTTTATGGTTTGGTCCTTGGGTGTCGCTACTATTTGGGGAGGCTGTGGAAACGTTGGGAGTCAGGACTGGAGGAAGCATGTCACAGGACTGAAACCTACACTGGTTCCCTCTCTTCTTGTCTCTGCCTGCTGTTTAAAAAAATGCCTTGAAGCAACTCTGACTTCCAGTCCCACGCCACTGTGTTCTGCCCAAGCCCAGGCAATCAAGCACCTGGGGCGGAACCACCTGAATCTGCGAGCCAATTAAATCATGCCTCCTTCCTACTCTTCCAGGTATTTTAGTCCCAGCAACACAAAAATACCTGCCTCAGAAACCAGGATAAGGGACTTAAAAATAAAATTTACATGCAGTGTAGGTACATGTAAGCAAAGGTAAAGCAACAGGAACTAGTTTGGTCAACTGTGGTGGTTTGAATAAGAACGGTCCCCATATGCTCATGTATTTGAATGCGTGGTCCCCACTTAGGGGAACTGTTTGGGATGAAGTAGTAGACGTGGCCTTGTTGGAGGGTGTTCTTTGAGGTTTCAAAAGTCCGTACCATTCCTATATAATTCTCTCTCTGCCTTGCACTTGTGGACCAAGGTATAAGCTCTCAGCTACTGCTCCAACATCAGCCATACCTGCCTGCCTGCTACCATGCTCCCTGCCACAACGGCTACAGACTCTAAAGCCCTGGAGCTATGAGACCCAGTTCGGTCTGATGAGTCGCCCTGGGCATCGTATCTCTTCACAGCAGCAGAAAGGTAAGTGAGACAGCAACAAAATAGAAAAACGTGGAGGAATGACATCTAAAATGATGTAGGACTGTGAGTCAAAATATTTGAGTTTGATTTAAACACATTTTTATTTCCCAGTAGGGGTGCTTCTCTGCGAAAGGAATAAACACAAACCACCGGGAAAGTTTCGAAGATCTGGATTCTCTGGTACCATCTCGTGGGATGACAGTTAACATGTGCACTCACTGGTGTCCACTGGTCACCGCTAGGTCAGAGGTAAAACTCTGATGCTGTAAACCAAAAAGTCTTGAGTTCATATTTCACCTGGGTTTTCACTACAACTGGATTTCAAAGTACTATGGCTTCATGGTTATAACTCTTACTGTCAAATGTTCTCTGATTTTATGATACATGAGTTTTTTTTTCACAGTTGTTCAGAACAGAACTAAGTAGCTATAATAAAGTGAACATTGTGTAACCCATCTCAGAGGCAGTGACAAACCATGCTGGCATAGGACATGGAATAACAGTTGCTCTGAGATCACCTCCAGCCTGTATTCCTTGCTCTAATGCCTGTCCTGGCTCTAGGTCCTAAGCTGTCATGAAGCCTTCTTTATACCTCAGAGCTTTCGCCATGCCTACAAGACATCCAAAATACCATTTATTTTTACTTAATACCACCATTCTTCATTTTTTCCCTTCCCGCCATAATTCACATTCTTGCTAGAGTCCAGTTTTCTTCATGAATACCATACCGTTCGCCCATCCATTCTCGCCTCTTCAGGCATGTATTGTGACTGCGTTAAAACTAAATTGTTGAGCGGATGAAATGATGCTGCTCTGGCTGGCCTTGGTGTTTCTGTTCGCACTTTAGTAAACCAAGTTTGTGTCTATTTCAATTTGTCTACCATTGATTATGAAGCCTTTAAGGGAAAATAAGACTGTCTGTTTTTTACATTTTGGCGTGTGAAGCGCTTCTCGCTTGCTGGATAGTGAGAATAATTTTGGACCTGCCACATATGCTGGCACAGGAACTTGAAAGCAGGTGACCAAGAGCAGCTCAAATGAATCATTTGCATCTCTCCTCATTAAAGTGGATTTGCTGGACAAATGCTACTGTATTGCTTCTGGCCAGGGCTGGGGTGAACTCAGCTGTCCAGAATGTTGTTAAAACACCCAGAAACTAAAATCCATCTCTTCTCCAAGGACTTAAGCTCTGCTGTCAGCTTACAGGGTCAAGGTAAGATAGTCAGAAGAGCAAAAACAAAAATCTAAATTTAACTGCGCTAACTGGCCATTTCTCTGGGTCTTTTCCTTCCCAGGGTCTTATACAAAGAAGATGGTTGGCAGAGGCTAGGAGAAGCACATCTGACAGTGTTGTCTTTTTAGGTTTGAGATGTGTGAAAAAGCAGAAAGATTTATAAACCATGAGGCCGTTTGCAATTTCCAACCAACTAGCGACAAGTGAGAAAGTAAAAATGGTCAGTCTTCTGGACTATTCAAAATGCACCAGGCATGTCCAGCCCACCTTGGGATAACACATTAAAGCATCAGCAACAACAAAGCCCAGCAAATAAAACAGCAGCAAGGAGGAGAAGAGGATGCGAAAGAAAGACAGGAACCAGGAGTTGTGAGGGATGTGGGGACGGAGACTCAAGCTCAGTCCCTGAAGCTGGTGCCTGATGTCCCCAGAACTTGATCAGCTGCTTTTATTAACATGTTGGAAATATGCGCCCTCAATAAAAATGGAAATCATTATAGAACTGCTTATTTGCTCTCTCTCAGTAGATCAGGATACATGCACTTTTATTAAGGTCTGTAAGTTCGTATTCATTTTTATTCCGTAACGTTTTAATTTCAACCCTATGAAGTCATATTTATCTGTTTAAATGGATGTGGCTAAGGAAAATTGTAGGATAATAGTTTCCATATGTTTGAGAAAGATGTTGGAACCAATTCATTCGATGACTGAAAACTTCAGCTCCAGATAACAACAAAATAGGTCTCTGTGTGTGTTTGTGTGTGTGTGTTGTTGTTGTTGTTGTTATTGTCGCTGTTGTAAGGATGCCTTCTATTCCCGAGGAGGAAGTGCTTGGGAGAAGAGGTGAGGAGGATTTGGTATCAAGAAAGGAGAACTGTGGGTACTATTAGGAGCCACAAAGAGTCTAAGGAAAGGAGACAAGATAGAAGGAGACAAGATAGAAGATTGAACACGAAGGGAACAGGAGGACATGTGTGATCCTCTCAACGCACACATCTGGGCTCCTGGCAGTGTGAAAGGAAATGTATGAGCACATGTGACAGCCAGTTATTTCTGCATAGGGGAGAAGAGGGGCGGAACAGAGCACACAGTAGGATCAAACCCAAGGAGGTCAGAAGGGGGCTAGAGATAACAGACATGCCCATTCCATTCCAAGACCTGAATCCAACATACAATGACAGTCTTGTCCTGTGTGATGAATGAGAGACCAAATGTGCCATAATAGACAACGGACTACCAACGTAGGCTCAACATGGCAGCAAGCCATGGCTTGTTAAAGCTGAGGTAGTTTTCCCTGACCATGAGGGCTCACTGCTTGCTCCCACAAGCGCCTTTTACTCCACATATAAAATAAGACACATTACTCTAGAAACTGGGCTGGGAAAGGAGCAAGAGGACCGGTGTAGGTAGGGTGATGCTGTGTCACAGCAGTGTTTCTCTATGGCACCAGAAGAGTGGGAAGGCAGGGAGGTGGCGCTCTTTCTGCAGGGAGGAAGAGGCAGGGAGAGGTGGGAAGCACAGGTGTTCAGTGCCTACACTACCAGAGAAATCGGGGAAAAAATAAAAATAGAAAGTGACTTGATGCCTGGGGGCACTGGAGAACAGAGATTGCCATCTCCGACAGAGGGCCTGGTTGCGAACAGCGCTGGAGCCATGGGATCAGAACCTTTCTCGCTGGTTCTGAGAAAGACCGGAAGCATCTGTTTACCAGGCAGGTGCAGGAAAAGTGGCTACTGGGTAGCATATGGGCTAAGTCACAGCATTTGAGAGCAGCATTTCGGGGGATACTAAATTTAAGAGCTTCAGTCTAGATTACTTCTATGTTTAGGCGATATTTTGCCCTTCTGTTGCTTCCTGTCCTTTATCGCCTGTGAATGCAACTGGAGAGCCATGGTTAGAAGGGAGCCCAGATTATGCAGAGAAAAGGAAAAGCCGTAACGTCTTCCCGTGTCAGAGATATGGGTGTCGTCTTCTGAAACTTCAGGTTTCCTTCCAACTCAAAGGAGCTTTACTTGTGTAAAGCCGAAATGTCTTAAAAATACTTATGGAGTTGCCTAAGGTAATAGCAACTCACTTGAGCTTCAGAGAGGAAAAAAAAGGAAACTTCATATTATTTCTCCATAGGTGAATTAGGTAAGAGCCAAGGGAAAAGACGCTTAGAAGACCTCTATATAATTAAATGTTACAGTCATCAAAATCTCTCAGAATTCCATGGCCTCTGAGCTCAAGTGGCTATGGGGTCCTCTAACAAAAACATCAAATTACTTAAAATGTCAACTACCTTTTTAAAAAATAGCAAATTTCACCATTGAAGAATTTGCCAGAACCTCTGCTGCCCCTTTTGTAGTTAATCGTGAGGGTGACATTTGGGCTTTCGCTGGGTACCTTGACTAAAGGTAGACCTGGAGCTGACTTGGGGAAGAGGCTGAGGCTGGGGGTCTACAGTGAATGAACGCTCTTGTTCCTGAGACAGGGTTAGGGGAGCCCTGGAAGAACCACAGGGAGAGACAGGCAGAAAGGGAAGACGCCACAGCCAGAGACAGGGGTGCCACGTGACCCAGAACAGCCAGTGAAAGCTCTGAGAGCGAGCCCTCTTTTCCCTGAGGAACACTCAAAAATTTTTTGATTATTTCCAAAAGATATATTCATTATAATAGAAGATTGAAGTCATGAGAGACCCCAGTTAATTCAGGTAAATATTGAATCAATTATAAAATGAAACCCAAGTAGCAATGAACCCGACACTATAGAACATAACAATTTAACAAGAAAAACCATTTCCTAACACAAATTACAGGACTCTGTACGGTCCTCTTTTTGTTACTTAATTTTTTTGTTTGTTTGTTCATTTATGGGGTTGGAGATGAAGACCTAAATCTGAAGTCTTCCTAACTTCCTGTTGCTTCAGCAAAGATGGAAAGGGGTCTTGGTGTCAGGGGTGGATTCCGGGTGTTCTGACTGAGCCAATGTCTGGACCTGTAGAACTGAACAGTGCCGGGTGGCTCTGGATCTCTCTCCATTAGGTAAGAGAAGGTGTTTCTGGGGCAGCAGAGCTAGCAAGGGGGAACATAGCCACCGAGGAGGGAGTTGACACAGGAACTAAGCTGATATTTAGTGGCATTTGCTACACAGTTGGAAACAAAAGTGTTTTCTGTAGATACAAGTAGCTCACACCTGTACCCTAATCCTCTGGTTGTTGGTATGTGTTAACTGGAACATGGAGCCTCACCTGTCCAAAAGAAGACGTGCCTGAACACCGAGGGCGGAGGAGTTCCACTGCCTGGCCTTGCCCTGTCTGGAAGAACACCTGTATTTCTGGTTTTGAGACCTGGGGTTGCTCAGATTCTGAAGTGGGTGCTATGTAATTTGTATGAAAGCAAGTGAGCTCAATCAGGGTGTCTTCCCAGTACTTTTAAGTTCTAAGATACTATAATTTTAGAAATATTGGGACCAAATTATGCTTTACTGGCAGGGCGTTGTTTACAGAGTTGGATGCAAATCTCTTTTGCAACACTTTTTGGAAAGTGGAGCCAAGGATGTGCTACAGAGCAGTCCTTGTTTTCTACATTAAGGTAGGAACATCTCCTAAGTCATGGGGGAACATGAGACATTTGTGAACATTTGACATGGTTCCTGGTTCTTGGAAAGCTCACAGTAAATGGGAAATATAAAAACAATCACTATAAAGTTTGAAAATAAGTTGTTTAAATGCTAACAACTTTTTTTCCTAAATGAAAAAGATCAAGCTTAACTGAAGCACCCACCTCCAGGCACTTCAGTTGAACAAGTTTGTTCTGAGGTATGGGATTATGCTTGAATGCCTATTTGTTTCACAAACATAATTTCTTTCCTTCTATTCAGGTGGTAATGCATATGCATAGATTTATTAATTCTTTATCTGCTTGAAGCTTAAAAATGTGAGTTCAAATTCAGAGTAAGAATAGCACAAAATTGCAGCAACCTTTACAGACTTGACTAAAAACACTAGATATCCCATAGTCTGTGCATTGGTGAACTTATCCATTTGGACATGGATAAGTATGTCAGTGTGGGTCTTTTTAAATGTCTTCATCAAGTTTATGGACATTCATGGGATGTCTGTCTTTGCCTTTCTTTTCTTCTTAGAGAGTTGCTTAGAAGTTACACTGGTATAGGCTCCAGGGCCAAGGTCAGACAGTTTGCTAGGTCTCCTTGGGGTTCTGTAGCTGAAGCCCTTAACATCTGGGCTAGTCCTTTAGAAATTCTAAAGTGGCCTTGTGGTGGTGGCACACACCTTTAACCCCAGCACTCTGGAGACAGCTAGAGTAACAAGGAGAAACCCTGTCTCGAAGAGGAGGAGGAGGAGGAGGAGGAGGAGGAGGAGTAAGAGGAAGAAAAAGAAGAGGAAGAGGAAAAAGAATTCTAAAAATGGTTCAGACTTGTTTCAAAGCCCCCTGCTTTCTCCTATCTTGTTTCTGCCTCCTTAAAGTATCATGTACAATGACTATTTTGCTTGATGATATTGTTTAAAACTAGAAATATCTCTGCTAAGGATTTATGATAAAGCACATTCTGAGAATTATTTTTTTTAAAATTTGTAATTTTGAAGTAACTGTAGACTCACAAGAACTTAAAAAATGTCACAATGTGATTCCACGTGCCCTTTGCTCAGCTTCCTTTGATGTCACAGTCTCACATAGCTCAAGTAGCATCACACTACAGATTAACTTTGGTTTATTACAATTCATACAGCATGGACAGAGGACTGAAGGATAAAAGCCTGGCTTTCCTGAGCCCAGTTCGGTGGCTGTGTGTGTCACTGAGCAGCACTGGGTTAATGTGCTGGGTTAATGTTAATCTTTGGCAAGGCTGAAGTTCTAGTGACACTTTATCTCATTGCTTATTAAAGCATCTGGCATTCAATTGGGCTTTTTCATTAAACGTGGCCAAGAGCTCTTTCCATCTATAGGAAATTTTGCTGTTTTCAAGGCCCAATTATCTGTGCCACCCCTGCTGTGGACAATCATTGTCCAGAAGGAAGAGCACGAACCCAAATCACTCAACTCTTGGCATTATTAGTGTGAGTCTTGTGACAAGGCACGAAATGTCCCTGGGTCTTACTGAATTGTTTCTATGTAATTGTTATTGTGAAGACTTATTTTTTTTTTCTAGCAAAGGCTGAATACAACGGTCCTGGAAAGTAGATACCATGAAGTATTTGATTGCCATCTTACAAACTAAGGTTCAAAGACGGTAAATTAGTGACTGAGAAGAGTAGAAGCCGTACATGGCGGTGTAGCTGAACGTGTTAGGATGGTCTCTCCCGTGCTATCACGTTCCCTTTCCGAAGCACCAGAGGACTGGATCAACACAACACAGCAACTAACAAAGCCGAACCAAGCAAGCACAGCAAGCAGAGTAAGCAATCCACAACTCAAGACAGCAGTGGAGGGTTAGGAGCCTGCCCTGATCTGCTACTGATGAGCACCTTGCTCATGTCCTTTCTGTGTGCACAGAAAGTGCCCAGTCAGTTGGAGTTGGGTGATAGGCTACAATAAAGGTGGGCTGAGTTTATTGTGGGTACTAGTATAGGATTTCTCCCAAGGTCCCCCAATTATTCAGATAGCGCGAGCAGCCTAGAATCCCACCCCTCATCTCTGTATCACCATGGTTCCCTCATCCCCCATTCCCACAATGTGGAGAATTTGGAGTTTGCGCCTGTGCAACAACTTACATTGTTTATTGCTTTTTTAAACCTAAGAGAACTTAAATGTAAAAGGATGGAGGGTTCTGACATCGTCTTTATCACTTTCAGTATTTTGCTCATGAAAATAATTTATTAACAAAAGAATGCTCACATGGGACATTTTAATAGCTTGGAATGTCTTTAGTACCACACCATCCCGAATTCCTTCTTAGCCTGTCCTGAACACCTTTTATGTATCTGAAATTCTTCATCATAGAACACCTGTTCTAGGAGGATTTCTTTGGGTCTCTCAATCCATGCCCTTCCTTCAAATGGAATAGAAAATGCTAAAATTGATATTTCATTTCAAGGGACTCCTGTTGCAAATATCAAAAGCTTGGGCACAGCTCGTGTGTGTGCATGTGTGCACGCATGTGTGTGTATGTGGGGTGTGTGCATGTGCGTGCGTGTGTGTGTGTGTGTGTGTGTGTGTGTAGCCCTGATCCATTAAGTACTGGGTTAAAATTAGAGAGATCCAGTCTTTTGGTGATGAGAAGTTTGAGGTTTTCTTACTGCAGTTACATGTGGGAATGTCATAATTAAGACTGAGGCAGAGAAAAACAGGAGCAGAATACTCTCAGGGATTCCTAGACATTCCTCTGGTTTTGAAACCATCTCAATCTTTGCCTATTTAGATTAGTTGTACTGTGGAGAAAAGGAGGAAAAAAATCATCAAAGTATACTATATGCTGTCAGAATTAAGAGATTTAAGATGGAAGGTTATCCTGAGAAATTAAGTAGAATATCTTAGTTTTATAAACAAAACTTTTGTAGACTCTGAGAGCCAGAAGAATATAAACATGCTTGTGTTTTAAATTTGGTGATGTTTACTCCCTCACAATCCTAAGGTATGAGGGGGACTCAGAAACTTTCATTCTGTACCAGGTTTGAATTATTCCATTGTTCGAACACACATAAGTGTTTTCTTAGCCCAGACATGACAGTTTAATGAGACACAATACACAGCAGCCCTTTCCCTAGAGTTTTAAAAAAGACCTATGGCTACATACACCAAGGAAAATTGCCATTCTATTACAAGCAAAATGACTTTTTATTTTCTTGGCTATCCATGATTTTCACTGCTTTTTCTTTCTCTTGTTTTTCTTTCAAGGACCCGTGCAAAACCTGGCAGAAGGGTTACATGGCTGCACCCCTGTGTGGATGCAAACCTCAGGGAGCACATTAAGGGTGGCAACATGCGACAACCACACAGAAATGAGCCAATAGCAGGAACTCCCCAGGACCTCTCAATGGACATGCTCCTTGCACAGAATCTACAGTCTTTTTCAATATTAAAAGACTACTTACCAATTATAAAAGTTGCCTGATATTAATCATGGGCTTAAAACATGCCAATTTTGCTTAACTTTTGATTATGGCAGGATATTCTAGGACAAACATCAGAAATCTACTAAGCAGAATGACTCTAAAGTAAGACTGCAGTTTTATCAGAGCATGCATTTTAGCTTCAAAGCGTACGTGTAAGGAAGGAACATTTGCACTTGTGATTATTTCACAAAACACTAAGGCACATAAAATTAGATGCTGAGCATACTCACAATATTTTCCAATAATGAAGACGCAGAAGAAGAATGGACCAGATGTCATTTCCTTCTTTCTGAGCAACTGATTAATGAACGTAGATAAAATGTGGTCTTGGATACAATGAGTCGCGCACAGCTCACAGTGGTTGTGCTATTTCTGTCCGCTGTCTTAGCAGCTAGAAGGCAGCGCTCTCCTCTCTCTCTCTCTCTCTCTCTCTCTCTCTCTCTCTCTCTCTCTCTCTCTCTCGTTGTCCCTCCCTCCCTCATTCCCTTCCTTTCTTTATCCCTCCACCCCTCCCTCTCTCTTCTCTTGATTCCCTTCTCTGAAAGTCTTAATATCTTTCCACACACACACACACACACACACACACACACACACACACACACGCGCGCGCACGCGCGCACACACACACACACACAGAGGGAGGGAGGGAGGGAGGGAGGGAGGGAGAGAGAGAGAGAGAGAGAGAGAGAGAGAGAGGCAGCAAGGAAAGTTTCTGGGAGCACACAGGTCCATTTCCTCTAAACATCTTGTTTCTCTGCCTTGAAAGATCTCCACATACATATACGGACACTGACAGAACTCTGACCTGGTCAAAGCTGTTAGAAGCAGACTGAGCTGAGGTAAACCCCAAGCAAAACATTTTTTTTTTCTTCTATGGATGCTCTTGTGGCACAACTGTAGATCAGGAATTAAGGTGTGACTGCAGTGGCCTTTTAAGTTTATTTGGAAATCCGAGCAATAGATACGGCTCAGAGAAAAAATAGAAAAATCAAATATTTCAACTGTGCGTGTTGGTTTGACTATAGCAGAGACCTTGATACGTTGTGACTGAACAGTGAAGTCCTCCTGGCTTCAGATCCTAGGGAGCCAGGCACTCTGGGGCTGGCAGCTATTATCCAAAGCTAGGTTTTCAGGAAGAGAGTACCAGTTCTGCAAGACAGCTCTGGGCTCTCCTCGGGGCACATCGGATAACTGGCACAGTCCCCAGTGCACAGGCCCTAGTGCCCAGCAGGTAACTGCCAAATGGCGACCCTTCACGCGACAGTATTTTAATACTGGCCTTCTGGTGAAGAAGAAACGTATATAAACACAAGTAACATTTCCGTGGGCAGCATTTTGTCTTAGGCAGAGTCTACAATTCTAAGTTTTGACCTAACAGTGTATTTCTAGAATTAATGGCTATTCTGCTTACCACCAGGCTTTGGAAGGGGGGGGGGAAGGAGGATGAGGAAGCAGAGGAATGTCAGCCAGGAGGGAGTGTGCACAGAACTCTTCGGGAACCCAAAATCTTGCAACCCAATATGAAATATAATGAGTGGATCATCGAACGCACATGTTATATAAAAGGGTGTGTGTGTGTGTGTGTGTGTGTGTGTGTGTGTGTGTGTGTGTGTGTAGGGGTGGAGACCAGCAGTCAAACGTTTAAGCAGGGATGAGGGCATAGGGTATAACAATGTAGGGATAAGGGATGTGTTAACCAAATTAAGAGTATATAAAGAAGCCTTATGGGACACACTATGCTAGTTTGAAAGCTAATTAAAAATACAACCAAATATAACCAAATTCCATGGTGGTGGTGGTGGCAGTGGCCGTATACACCTTTAATACCAACACTCAACTGGCAGAGGCAGGTGAATTTCTGACTTTGCGGAGAGAGCTCCAGGACATAGATCCTGGTGTTTTAACGAGAAGAGCTTAAACTGAGAAAAGCCACATGCGTGAAAATTTATATGGTTTTCCCATGGATTTCAAAAGAAATCTCAGTGTTACCCGAGGCATAGGTTATCTCCCTTCGAGTTGAGGTCAGTAAGGCCCAGAGGCACTCGAAAAGGAATAGGCTATTGCCATCGTTCCTGGTTTTCTACACTCAGTAGGTGGTGAGACACTTTGGCTGTAGGGCATAGAGAAACAAATCTTATATAAACAACAAACAGCTATGCACACTGCTCGGGGAGAAAAGACCTCCCTGGTCCTACCCAGAACTGAAACCTGCCTGCAACAACACTGACCTTCCAGACAAGACGTGCCTGGGCAATAGCTGCAGACTGTGAGTGGAACTACCCACTCTCTTGATTCGTTTGAGGCCAGTTACACAGAAGGACATTCATGCATGGTACTGTAAACACAGTCAAAACTCATGGCTAGGGGAGTGGTGACTTTCTTTCTATGAAAGAAATGATTTCTACAGGGGATAAAAGACAATTAAAATAACTTTTTGGCTACTATTTGGAAATAGACTTCATATACTAAAGTCAGTGAAATATATATTGTTTTTAGAGGCTGTTCTCTTCAGACATTGGAAAAAGGGTGTAAAATGCCCCCCAGTTGAGAGTCATTGGATTTTTGTCAAATATGCTTGAATGATTTGGCCGGATACATGGTGCCACAGCCAGTGCATGGCGAAGCATCCTTCTGGTTTTCCACCCAGACTGGGCACTGACTTAGGTTAAGAGAGCTATGCCCTCGCTTATCTCAGAGCTCCTTTGTAAAGCCCGTTGGAGCACTGAGAGTAACAGCAAAGCTCTCTGTCTGAAAACTACTTCTTGCAGGGTGGTGGTGCACACTTTGAATCCCAGCACTCTGGAGGCAGAGACAGGTGGATCTTGTGAGTTTAAGGCCAGCATGTCTACAGAGCTAGTTCCAGAACAGTCAAGACCACACAGAGAAACCAAGTTTAGAGGAAAAAAAATTAATAAAAGGAAAGAAAAAGAAAGTTATTTCTTGTCACAAACCAGTGAGTTGAACCAGAACAGCCTTCTTGCACAAGCACACGTACAGATCTGGAGACCCTGTGACTGTCTCATCCCTCCCCACCTGGAAGCCCCTGTGCCTATCAGTCACTATCATGATTAGTGATGGAGACAGCCATTTTGTTAACTTTTTTTTTTTTATTGTAGACCTGAGTTTTCCCAGGATAAGGAGCTAGTGAAATCTCCTCGGAGCTTCACAGGTAGAGAGGTTCCCAGAATGATTCGGAAGCCATAAGATAAGAAGATTAAAGTACAGCCCAAGGGCAAAAGAAGCTTTCTCTCAAGTTGCTCATCACGTGGCTCCCTCTCTATTATAGGTGACAGCTGCCAATCAGCCAAGACTCTTGAGGTACTCATCACTCCCAAGTTCCACCCAAAGGCAATTTTAGCTGTCTTAATTTAGCATTAATCAAACAATTCCAAGATGAGGTGACTTCTGGAGAAGGATATTGATAACACTGTGGAACATACACTTGGATGGAGTAGTTATAGGTGCAGGGGTTTGAAAAGGTGTTTTATGCAAACCCCAAGCATATTTGTTCTGGATGAAAAGTGGCCAAACCCACTATTTTTGTGGAAAATTTTCTAGTAAGTGGTAAACCAAGTCCTAATTCATATATTGCCAGATGTCCCATTGAAGGATTTAATGGCGAAGTGGATTTAGTATTCCTCTGTATAACTGATAGTGTAAAGAGAATGAGGCATGGCTAAAAAGCACAACTTTCTCTCCCTCTCTGTATATATGGGTATGCACAGAAGCATGTATGCATCCCTGTTCTTAATCTACCCTTCATTGTAGAGTATATGATATTTGCTAAGTGCGAACTCTGTATAGACCTTAGTATCATCAGCTGTTTCAATTGCTTCCCTCATGATCACACTATAGGTTCACTCTCCTTCAATTAATGCTTAGCTGATTCAAGTCCGACAGGATAAAACAGAAATATGGCAAATGGACTAAGAGCAAGACGGAGAGTTTTAATCTCAGGGAAAATTACTTACACAACAGTCGGCTGTTATATTTTGATGTGACTGTGAGGTGTGCAATCGAAATATTTATTAGAAAGAGCAGTCTATGTTCTTCCTTTGAGACATCTTTGAGTACTGTGTACTCAGCTTGGCCTAAACTCCTGCTCTTACAACCTCACAGCCTCCAGAGTGATGGTATTGCAGACATGCACCGGTATAATGGACCAAAAGCATCATCTTAATTGTATTTAAACATAAACACAGCTTGACTTTAGAACAGGGAAGCCTAGGAGAAATAAATGTAAACTATATATACAATTTTAAGGGATTGTTTAGAATCTACATTAAAGAACTAAAATAAATATCAAGTGACTTTTGTTTTAATGATAAATTTGACCAGATTCAACACACCCAAAATACTAATGTTATGCTTTGTGTGTTAAATGTTCCTCACAGTCTCGTATGTTTGAACACTTGCTCTTCAAGTGGTGGCAGTTTTCTGGGAGGCTGTGGAACGCTGACAAAATGGGGACCAGTTGGAAGAGGTTATTCATGGGGTAACCAGGCTTTCAGGGGCATAGTCTCTCCTATTCCCTGTCTTATCTCTGTTCTAAAATGGCCAGCTGGGAGGAATGTGAGCAGGCTTCCACTATCACAGGTACAAGGGCACCCATCGTACCTTGTCTGTTGCTGTAGACTGTATCCTAAAACCATTAGTCAAAATAAGTAGCTCTGCCTTAACTTACTCATTGTCAGGGGTTGGGCCGCAGTAAGAAGAAAAAAATAACTAATATGTGAAGAAGGGAAGCAAACACGACCGTTGGAAATACACTGTTTGCATGTGTGAAATTCTCAAGAAACAAGGGGATATTGAGTACATTAAAAAGCAAAATAATGAATAAGTTAAACTGGTACCAGATATAGAGTCCTTGCTGTGACTGCCTCACTGAGTGATTCATACGCCTTTGGAACTAGCTTGTGGGAGGAATGTGGAAGCTAAGACCTGAAGGCTGGAGAAGCCCTACAGTGCTGTGAGCAGAGATTAATGGGCCATCTGGAGGGAACTCAGATCAGGACACAGATAAAAGTGTGGACCGGAAAGGCGGGCCTCCTAAGGTTATGGAGAAAAACAAGGGCTCTGTCGGGAACTGGGCTAGATGTCATTCATGTTATATCATGGCAAACAAACCCGGCTGTGAGTATCCAAAAACTCAAGCGATTATAAAATGCAGAGCAATGGACTAATTTGTTTGGTGGAGGAAATTCCAAGACAATAAATCATGGAGCTGGTGGCATGTTTAGACCACATCTACTCTGATTTTAGTGAAAGAGGTTTCTAAAAATTGGAATAGAAAGATAAGAATAAAAAGTGTCGTTGGTGAGAAAAAGAGCACGAACAGATTTAAAGTTGTGGGTAGAGCCTGTTGTTGACTAAGGGCTTGTATTATTGAAGAGATTCGTGACGTTAAGAAAACTCTCAAAAATGCCTTGACTCCTCGATGAAGAGCTCCAGAGAGTAAACTAATCTGTGAAACTATCAGAGAAAGAAAGAGAGGGAGGGAGGGAGGGAGGAAGAGAGAGAGAGAGAGAGAGAGAGAGAGAGAGAGAGAGAGAGAGAGAGAGAGAGAGAACAAGGAGCCTCTCCCCTAAGGGCACCCTGCTCCTCAGCAGGACTTCCCACAGAAGTGTTGCCACAGGGCATCCTTGAAGGCACACAGAGGCCACTGTGGTCCAAGGGGGTCTATTTCCAGCTATCAGCAGAAATTGGCATGGTACATACAGTACTGATTTATAAACATGAAAACTCTAAGAGTTAGGGGGTCATAGAGACTTCCATCAAGGTTCCAAAGAGCCACCAAGGTCAGGCAGTATGAAGTAAGGTCAGATTCCCCCATGGAGCTCCTGAGACAGCTACATGTAAAGCTGTAGGGGGGAAACAGAGACCCCAGTATCCTGGAGATGTCTGTGGGAAGTCCACAGAGGAGAATGGAATTTATCAGGAGGAACTGTCCTGAGAGAGACCATGTGTGTTGCAGGCATCACAGCTGGAAGAGTGGGGCTACCCATTCCTGTTGGAGTTTGGATGATGCTATTGTGATCCCACAGATGCCAGACATGGACTTCAAGGTTTGTTTTTGTCCTTCTGTGTTTTTTTCCCCCAAAGATAATGCTTAGTCTGCTTTATTGTGTTAGAAATGCACAACTTAATTAATTAATTAAAAATGAAAATAGATTCTTCTCTTATTCAATACCTCCCAAGCATAGCTTCCCTTCACTTTCATTCCCTCCAACTCTCCCACCTCCCTTATCCTGCAGACCTACTCCCTCTGTTTCCTCTTCAGAAAAGAGCAGGCAACCAAGAGTCAACAATCAAACAGGACAAAGCAAGATATGATAAGACTAAGAAAAAGCCCTCATGTCGAGGCTGGACAAGGCAACCCCACAGGAGGAAAAGAGTCCCAAGAGCAGGCAAAAGAATTAGAGATACACCATCCCCACTGTTAGGAGTCCCACAAAACACCAAGCTATCAGCCATATATGCGGAGGACCTGGTGCAGACCCATGAAGGCCCTGTGCTTGCTGCTTCAGTCTCTATGAGCCCTGCTTAGTTGATTCAGTGGGCCTTGTTCTCCAGGTGTCCTCCATCCCCTCTGACTCCTACAACATTTCTTCCCCCTCTTCTGCGGGGCTCCCTGATCTTCTAGTGGAGGTGCCCAATAGATACCTTTCAATTTAGACTCTCTCTGCATAATGTTTGGCTATGAGTCTCTACATCCACTCTCATCTACTACCAGAAGAAACCTTTCTGATGATGATTGGACAAGGCACTAATCTATGAGGACAGCAGAATATCATTGGAATGATTTCACTGATTTTTTTTATTTTAAAAACAGTCATGTTTGGATAAATCCTAGGTCTCTGGTCTGTCCAGTTTCCAGTTCCTGGCCATCCAGGCAGTGTAGGCGTGACCTCCTTCTCATGGGGTGGGCCTTGAGTTTAAATAGACATTGGTTGACCACTCAAACACATTCTGCACCATCATTGCCTCAGAACATTTCTCAGGCAGCTCAGGGTTTTGTGACTGCGTTGGCATCCAGCTTTCTCTTTTTGTAGTCTGCAGAGTGCTTTCTCTCACCAGAGAGATTGTAATGCAAGGTGAAGGCTCCAGGCAGGCACCAGCTTGACCCCTGATATTCATTGGGTTGTATGGATGTTGTCCTTGGCAACAAGGCCCTGCTGAGAGTTTTCAGAGAGCCACCTTCTGTTCTAGCATCAGCCTGGGTTGTTTAAGGATCTCAACAAGATAATTGGTTGGCCAATAACTCAACCAAAGGCAACCCAGTCTGACCACTGGAAACCTTGCCTGGTTACAAAAGATGGCCAGTTCAGACTCCATGTAAATGACTTATTTTTGACTGTGAAAGTTCACATGAGATCACCTTGAGTGTGGAAGAGGCTTTGGACTTTTGGATAAGATGAAATCAAGAGACTTAATGTTGCCACATTAAAAACATTAGTAACAACAATGAAAGTTACTGTTTATTACCACCATTTGGCAAATGTAATGAGATTTTAAGAAGATGAAGTTAGGAGAGTCACCCTTCCCTAAGTATACAGTTCTTTTAATGGAATTCTTTATATTTAATTAAGATAATCACACTGCCTTCATTTCTCTCATTACATTTCAGATGAGTACAACCATGCACCACACTATGGGAACATCTGATCTACTCCAGGCTCAACTGGTGATGGAAGTCTTTCAAAATATTGATGGGTGTGTTGACATGTGCTTGTAATCCCAACACTTGGGAGCCAGAGTGGGAGAACCAGGAGTTCACGGCCCCCTATCTATTCTTTGGAAGCCATCTCATGGAGGAGGAGGACCTGCCAGTCTTCTCATGGAGGAAGACGCTTCCTTTGACTCGTGAAAAAAAATCTATATCTGAAGTGGATGTGGGAAGATGGGCCCCCTTTGGAAACTTATTGGGATTCAGGCCATTGTGTAAACAAACTGACGCATCTTATAGTTTGTTAGCTAGACTGGCAACTTCTGTAGCAGCCTAGAGCCATTACTGGGCTCTTGTTTTTTTTTTTTTTCTCTCTGCTCAGTTTCTCAATTGAATAGCTACTCATGTTCTCTTCTCGGGGTGGTTCTGTGGACGCTGCTCTCTGATTTGCCGTGCTGTCCCTTCCTTTCTGTCTCATTTAATGACTTTATGTAGGCACCCTGCCTCTGCTAGGCTGTAGTTAGACAGTCTTTTCTCAAGAATCATTGATTTAGTTAGAAAGCTGTGCACGGCTGCACTAATGGGTGGTCTGACGCTCTTAAATTTCGTGGGCGTTCCAGAGATTTTAACAATGTGCATAATGACCCATCTTACGCCAGTTCTTATCAAAAGGCTGTTTTGAACCCACCTTTGCTGCTAAGAGGAGTTTTCAGTTTTATCTGTTATTGTTGAGGCTAAGACGCAGCTGCAAACATAGTTGTTTTAAGTCACTGAGCTTCTAGACTCAGTTATTTCTTCTTTCAAAATTTCGATTCTTAAAAACAGAGCTGTTACTGTTGTCTGGGTATGGATTGCAGGCACATGCCATGGGGTACATGTGCAGACAAAGAGCAGCTTTGCTCAGTTTGTTCTCTCTTTCTAGAGTGCCAAGGATGCAACTTGGGTGTCAGACTTTTGGGGCAAATGACTACTCACCGACTCCTCTCTCTTCTCACCCCTTTGTCAAGTTGGCTAACAGTTAAAAAGCCAATTTTTTTTTTTGTAAAAGTGTGTGAATCATGGAAACGAGCATCCATCATTAAGTTGGTGTGAACTCTAGTCCTAGGATTATAAATTGATTGACATCATCTGCTTGCCAAGTTATCCTTGGTAACAATATCAATAAACGCCTATCATGCTTGACAAGCTCCCTAGTCTGAGAGCCTGTCTTCCTGGCTGTCACCAGTCTTGGTGCTAATACTTCCTGCACACATGTTTTATGCGGGTTATTATATAATGCACCCTGTAAACAATACCATGCAAATGATAACACACCACATCTAGCAATCAACTTCACCGTCAGTTAGCATATGCTAGGCTGTGGTACATGGACGACCAGCCCCCGCTCAGAGCTATTCCTCACATTGGGATCCCTAGAGACTCCAGCAGACAGGACTCTGTGCCACAGTTGTGCGTGGGGGAAGCGACAAGCAATGCCAGAGGCTTAAATCCCAGAGGCAACTGTTTAATGAGAGGCCGCTTCTCATCTGTGTCCTCAAAACGTTTTCTGTTTCTCTGAAAAATCCGTCAAACATTATGTCAAATAATTTTTCACAGTTTCTTTGATTTAATCTTTAAAAACTAACTTTTTTCTTCATGATTACAGAAATATTCAAGCCTCTTATGTAGCCTCTTGTTTCAATGTAAATGGGCAATTTGATGATAAAATATTACGTACTAATGAATATTTCTACAAAATTTGAAATATCTTTAATATATGATATGTTCTTATAAATAGTGGAATACGCCTCTGTATTATATACTTTAAAAACATGTAACTAGTTCCCTAAGAATTTCATACATGTCTTTACCATATTCATTTCTCTCTGCCAGCTGTTCCCACATATGAAGGAATTTTTAAATGAGTAACTAACTTGATGGCTTCCCAGTTTGGGATGAAGGAATCTTATGACTTTTCACCTCCCACTGTTAAACATCATTCTCACTACAAAGAGAAAGAGAGAGGAATTATTTTGAGCTGAATATGCATGGTGATGGCCTGGGAATGTGGATTCAGGTTGTCCCAGTCCCATGGTCCAGTGTGGAGGTAGATATGCACATCCGTCCTCAGTGACAGAAGACAGTCAGCAATGGAGTGTTTTCTCAAGATGTTGGTAGGAGCGTTAGGGAGGCGGGTCACAGCACAGTGTGGAGAATTGTGTGGCCGGTGCGAGAGGATGGCATGCTCAGCTTCTATGTTGGGAGAAGTCATGCGTCCATTGATGCATTCCGGAGTCGTGACCTGATCGTTGAAAGGATGCTAGGTCAGGCAATCATAGCTATTCAGGGGGACAAAAAGGAGCCAAGATAAGTTAGCTTGGGATCTGTGGTGTTTTAACTCTTTATAATCAGAGTTTTAATCATTCACCCTTTCGGCATCTTTTTTTTTTAAAAAAATTACGCTTCATTATATTTATGAGTGTGCTATATGTGTGGGAGGGTGTTGGCGCGCTTGTGCCGCTGTACGTGTGTGGAGGTAAGGAGACAGCATGAGAGAGCTGGGTCCTTCTCTTGACCTTATGTAGGTCAGGAGATGGCACTCATGGAGTCAGGCTGAGTGGCAAGTGCTTTTCCAGGAACTCCAGCTCACAGCCCTTCTTCCTCTCAGCTGTGCTCACAAGCCAGCTGCTTTATAGGGTCATCCACTTCCCAGTTTGGAGTTGGCCAGGCTCACGGAAGTGCGGATGGCAGGAGTCCAATCCCACGGAGGTCTTCTGCCTCACCCCTGTTTATAATCCTTCACCCCAGCCTTTCTCACCTGTTCTCTTCCTGGTTTCGCTTGGCTTAGAAAGACTTTCTGTGTGCTTTACTAAATGGCTGCTAATGGTTTTTCTCTTTTAAGCTCTGTGCTCTGCAGAGCAAGGAAACATCTTCTAGGGGCTCTCAAGAACTGTTGACACCAGTTCCTGACAAGGCTATATTTTAAATATAAACTAAGAATTGTGTCTAGGGGCTCATGACCACCAACGGCCTTACTGATCTGAGGTTACATTATGAACTTGATTATTATAAGATAATATGGGACACAATCGTTGGTCAACAATTGTCCAAAAACTTGGAGGACAAATTTTTGTTTTAACCACTGTCTTGAAGTTTTCTAGGCCAGTGAGTATTAAAAAAACAGTCATATTAAACATGAAAAAGACGTGGGTGCTCTTAAGAGTTAGTAGGGTTGGGTGTGTTGACTCCCATGCGCAAACCTAGCACTAGGGAGGTTGAAACAAGAGGATTCTGTCTTAGAGGCCAGCCTAGAATACATGGTGAGTTACAAGTCAGTCTTGGGTAGATACTAAGACCTTCTACTAAAACCTAATAAAACAGAGTAACAACAACCATAAAAAAAGAACAAAACAAAGTAACAGTGGGAATGGGTGAGAGAAGAGTGGGATGGGGGAGTGGAGTAGTGATACAGGAAAAGAAACCGTCACAGGGAAACCCAGACATCAATGTGTGGATCGTCAGCCAAGTCGAATGAGGCTGCTGCCTTGTCTTGTGAGCTGGTGTTCATAACACACATGGACTGTATCTATAACCATCCCAAAAGTCACCACGCAGATGCTAATAAAGGATTATGTAACGATGCAATTACGCTCCTGATTTTTCTACATGAAGGCAGATGATTCTGTTATATTACATTTCCTCTGTGACTTAAGAATCTTTAAACGCTGCTAATTATGTAGCTTGTTGGAGTAAGCAGCCCTGGCTGTGAGGACAAAGACACGTCCTTTCCTTCTCACTTAGTCTTTAGAGGGAATCTCTTTAACTGGAGCTCCTGGGACATCTCGTCTACGCTTCAGATAACTTTCTCTTACTTGTGTTTGGGTACCAGGCAGCAGCCATAGGAATTTCTCACCTACTGTGAGGTTAGCAGACCACAGCCCACAACTCCATCAGAGTGTGAAAAAGCTAATGAAGACAGACTCTGGGCTACTTGCTTGCACCACGTCCTCAGGTGGCTCTTCCCTTTCTGCAGTACAAAGGGCGGTCTTCTCCACTGTCGGCCTCCCTGAAAACACGTGAATTAGTCACATACTTATAGCAATCAAATATCTTACTGCATCATTTATACACATGCAAGGCGCATGTAGGTGTTGGGACCAGGTGCAGTGGAGGGTAGATGCTGGGTGCACAGTGACCTCAGTCCTACCAGAGTCCGGCAAGACATGGGATTACGCCAACAAGCCGTGCTATTAGTAGAGTCTTAAGAGTTCTCCCCTACCAGAAGGCATGTGATGTGACAGAATCGATCTGTCTTCATGTAGAAAACCCTGAGCTTAGTTGTGGAGTTATATAATGCTTTCTTAGCGTTTACATGGTAACCACGGTGATGGTTGCAGCTACATTCCATGTGTGCCATACACGCCATGTGTTCAGGGGAAGCCATGCTAGAAACACCAGGAGAGAAGCAGGGACTAATGAAGGCATTGATGAAATGAAAAGGATAGCTGGGCTCCAGACCGACGGCTAGCTAGGTTTACTTAGTGTGCCAGACCGCTTGCCTTTGAGGTTGCTTTGGACCAGATGATGAGAGATCTCAGACATCCTCTGGTACTGAGTAGCTGTGATGGAGCTGGAGGAGAAGAGCCGGGGAAGATGGTGCTGTATCACAGGACTGGGAAGAACAGCTGGAATATACAGTGGGGAACACAGGCGCTCCATTCCAGTCTACTCAGCCAGCAGCCAACCCCGCCGATTTTCACATCTACCGTGGCCGCACACAAATTGCTTTCCTTTGTGTTAGCAACTATTCATTAGCTCCAACAATTTATTCATTCTGTTAATTTTGGCCAAATGACTTGAAAGTCCACCGAGCACAGTAGTACTTTTCAGACTTTTGAGCGGAAGAGAAAACATCACAAAAACGAACTTCTGGGTTGGGCCGTTATTAAGACTGTGCTTAGTTATGAAGTGAAATATTAAATCCTAAAATGTAACCTCATCCAAAGATAATGCCACAACAACAACAAAATCCTTTTTATCTCATTTAACCTGTGCAACTGAAGGGATAAATTCCAGAGAGACAAGTAGTGGAGTCTGTGAAATAAGCATATGCTGTCACTTAAAAAAAAACAACCCTGCTTCTGTAAATATAAAAATATATGAAGTGTGAAATCAGTGGAAACTAAGCTTCAACATAGATACATAATAATTTGCAGTTTCAAATCCTTAATTACTAAGTGAAAATAATTCCTTTGGATGTTACTGTATACCATATACAATTTAGGAAACTAATATGTGGTACATGTATTGCACTCATAATATCATTTACTTTCTGTGTAGTAAATATTTAGTACTCTCAGGTGTGTTGGGTTTTGGTTCAAATGC